TCCTTCCACTCATCCTTCCTTCCACTCATCCATCCCTCCACTCATCCTTCCTTTCACTCATCCATCCTTCCACTCATCCTTCCTTCCACTCATCCATCCCTCCACTCATCCATCCCTCCACTCATCCATCCACTCATCCATCCTTCCACTCATCCATCCACTCATCCCTCCACACATCCATCCTTCCACACATCCTTCCTTCCACCCATCCATCCACTCATCCATCCCTCCACTCATCCTTCCTTCCACACATCCTTCCTTCCACTCATCCATCCACTCATCCATCCTTCCACTCATCCTTCCTTCCACTCATCCATTCCTCCACTCATCCATCCCTCCACTCATCCATCCACTCATCCATCCCTCCACACATCCATCCTTCCACACATCCTTCCTTCCACTCATCCATCCACTCATCCATTCCTCCACTCATCCATCCTTCCACTCATCCATCCTTCCACACATCCTTCCTTCCACTCATCCATCCACTCATCCATCCTTCCACTCATCCATCCACTCGTTTATTTTTTTCATCTGGTAATCTCTCCACAATATCTTGCAGTTGACTACTGTTGCTTCTAGTGGGTGAGGCTGGCCGTGTCATGGAAAATGCCCAGAGAAACCTCACAGTCTAGCATGGCATAGAAACAGTCCGGTATCCGCATCAAGGTTCAGCCCGGGCTTGAGAAATAATGTGAAATCGAGGCTTAGCCGCACTTTGTTCCTGGGTGCCTTCTTTCTAAGGCTCCTGACCATCCGCTCTCCACCAGTGTGCTCACTACCCTGATGTTGATTCCACATGGCGTCACTAATAATTGTTTCTTGTGGTCTTAAGAACTATTGTCCCAGACTTCAGCTCTACATACCTGGAGAGTTGCCACTTCCACCCTATGTTCTCGCTGTCCCCTGATTGCTTCCCCTCCACCTCGGCTGTACCATGCTACCAAAAGACACGCAACACTTTCTCACACAAAGTTCTCTTAGACTCATATTCCATTATTCGCTTTCCCTGCATCCCTCATGGAGTAGTGGCTACTCTTCCTGGTTCTTCTCTGGCATGAAAAGGAAGAAGTTTTGTATTGATATTTGATCAGTTACTGAAAAGCTAATTATGTTTGTAACATGAGGGAAGTCACCTAACCCCTCTGTAAGCAAAAAGGACCTAGTAACACAACCATACCAATGAAAGTGAAGACTTAGCAAATTAAGTTAGTTTCCCATCACAGGGACCAGGATTCAGGAAACGCCGGCTACACGTCAGACGTGGAGGTTATCATTCCACAGCCTCACCTGTCACCCAGATCTCCAGGACGTTGCTGGGGAAAGAGCCCAGGTGTGGCGAGTTACACTGGTAGTAGACGCAGCTGTAGTTCCCACTCTCAGTGCTTGTCACATTCCACAGCATGAAATCAGTTTGGTTTTTTCTTACTTTCTTGACTTGTAATGGTTCTGGGATCCCCATTTTCAACAGTGCAATTGCAGTACAGTCAGTTCCATTGTATGGAACCAGACATCGGAGTGTCCAGCGACCTGGAGTCATCTCAGAGTCTTTGTTGAGTAAGAGGGAAGGTTTCATGAGGGACCCTAAAAAGGACAAGGCAGTGGGGGTGGAGGGGACGGCTGGGGCTGCTCGTCTCCACTGCACTTGGGGACTAGCTCATCCATCTCTGTGTATTACTCATAGTTTTTGCTTTCTGTATTGGATAGTTTGACATTTTGGAGTCTTTCTGACCTTGGAGGGACTGCCTGCATGTCTCCCTCCAGGATTAGCTAATTCCTGGAGATAGTAAACAACCCACCCAGAGCATGCCTCTCAAATGCAAGCCAGCCACCCTGGGGTGCACTCACCCAACCACTTCCCTTTCTGGGCTCTCACACTCAGGGCCACTCAGAGCCAGAGTCTCCTGCCTTGATCACTCCAGGACCAAGTGCCAGACAACCAGGGACAGCAGCTATGCCTCAGGGACATCCTAAGCCTGTTCCTTCTCACGAAAACACAGTAAGGGCCCTTTCATCTCCTCCTCTCTCTGCCTCCCGCCTCCTGGTGTTTAACGTGCTCTCCCACCCCGGTGGTGTGGTGCACCCTGTCTTCCTGAGAACTGTGAGTAACAAACCACCTTTTCTTAAGGAAAAAAAGTAATTATTCAACTTCATTTATCATCATCATTATTATTAAATTTGATACAGGCACTCACCAGAGAGAGAGAGAGAGAGAGAGAGAGAGAGAGAAGTGAGAAAGCAAGCCAGTAGGTCCAGGACTTGAACTATATCCGACCAATGTATGAGTCCAGCACCTCGACCACCGTGCCACCTGGCAGCCCCAAACTACCTTTCCAATGGCACCTATCCCATGCTCTGCTGGTCTTCCTGTACCTCAGATCACCTATTTCTTGACTCTAGTCCAGTCCCACAGCCACACTGAGCCCCACTCAGAGTCATTGATGAGAACGCGTCCACGCGTTCAGCAATCAGTCCCCCACACTCAGGGCTGCAGCTGTCTTTTCGTATCCTGGGTTCCTTCTTCCCCAGTCAGATCCCACCACAGGAAAAGGACTACGAAGGGGTTTCACAAAGCTTGTGGAAAAACGGGAGTAAAGTATGAGTTTATCTCAGTGCAGAAAATGGAAACCCAGGCCTGGTCTTCTCATAACGCGCCTTCCCCCGACCTTTCTGAAGCCCGCCGTACGCACAGCCAAGAGCAAAGCCCTCTCACCTGTGACCACCAGCTCTACGTGGTCACTCTTCTCTGACCACTCGTGGGAGGCTGTCCTGTAGGCACAGAAGTACCTCCCGGCGTCCTTGGGCTCCAGGTCGGTGAGGCGGAATTCGGCCGCGTTTCCTGCCGAGCTCTGCTCTCGCTTGTCCCCGGAGTCGGGCGACTTCTCCAGCAGGAACGTGGCGTTGTGGAACTGGGACTCACACTGCAGACTCAGGTTGCTCCCGCGTTCAACCACCGTGCTGGGCCGGGCGCTGAGTGAGGGCTTGGGAAGCTTCTCTGGAAAGAACTCACAGTTAATTGGAGTCTTCATCCTGGTGGCCATGAAGACCCTCCTAGAATTTGGAGGATTAAAGAAAACTGTCACGAAGCATGGGGTGCAGAAACAGGTAGCTGTCTCGTGGAGCAAACTCACCATTCGTTTTCGCATCTTCACGGCCCAGGCACAGCCCTGGAAGAGAAAGCTCAGTGAGAGACGGACGAAGCGCTTGTCTCTGCGTGCGATCTGGCAGGGAAAGCGCGTCTGGTTGCGGACGAGCTGCCATGACCCCCGCAGAGGCTGGCCGGCGTTCCTTCCACTTCCGTGTCCTCGTTCGTCACTCCGAGGTCACGAGCTCGTAGCAAACTCCAGCAACCTCTCCTGACGATTCAGCTGCCGTCATGACCAGTCTCTTCTTAGGGTGATTCCTTTACTTCTTCCAGGATAGAACGAGAGACAGAGAGATGCAGAGAGACAGGGACCGTCACCCCAACAGTGTCTGAGGCCACAACCCAACAAAGCCTCAGCCTGACTGGTCTCGGGCACACGGAGGCCTGGGGTGGGAGCCTGGGACCTTCCGTCTGGGTCCAGCATCTGAGACTGTCATCGCCGCACCTGTGTACTCTCTCTGTCTCTCTCTCTCTCTTGCTAGAGGGCACATACACTTACTGAGAGGCAGAGAGAAAGAGGGCGGATGGCCACACTGCAATCCCCTTTCCTCTAGTCTCCTCTCAGGATCTTGGGCATGCACACATGCACGCCTGGTGTGTTTTCCAAGGCATCGGATCTGGGACTTGAACCACACAGTTGGCCATGTGGGGTCTAGTGCCTTAATCACCAAGACATTTTCTGACCCTGGTCCTATTATTTTTTTATATTTAATTACATTTAAATATTTTGTTCTTATTTTTTACACTCAACCACTGTATGTCTTTACAATATTGAAAATGAATTTTCCCAGCATGAATACTTTGTATGTTAGTCCAGTCAAAGAAACTGCCATACGCATTGTCATCAACAGATTCTCTTCCTTTTTTGTACATTGAATTATTTTTAAGAGAGATTTTTGCTCTAGGGTGTGTGCACTTGCTAGAGAGACAGGAAGAGACAGAAAGTGAGAAATCAACCCCCGCAGGTATGGCCGCACTTCAATTCCTTCTCCCTTCTCCTCTCCAGGTCTTGGGCATGCCGCACGCATACTTGGCATGAGTTTTAAGCCCCTGGGTCCAGGACTGAAATCACAGTGAACTGCGTGGGAGTCCAGTGATGTAACCGTCACGCCATCTCTGGTCCCTGACCACTGGACTTTTTCCTCCTTGATTCCCTGTCCCCCATTTCCCACTCTTCTCCCACACTGTGTCTGATATCCAGAGCTGTTTTCTGTGCTTTTATGCCTTCCAGAAATAAGCTTCAAAACACATATCAAACTGATTTTTTCTTTTTTAAAAAAATATTTTACTTTTTTAAATTAACTTTTTATTTATTATTATTTTCATTATTATTTTCCAGTTTGATAAGAGAGAGACAGAGAGAGAGAGAGGAAGTGAGAAAGCAAGCCACCAGGTCCGAGACTTGAACCGTGGTCGGCCATGTGGGAGTCCAGTGCCTTTAACCACCATGCTACTTGCCGGCCCCCAAACTGATTTTTTTTAGAGAGATGTTTGCTATAGGGCACGTGTGCTTGTCAGAGAGACAGAGACAGAAAGCAAGAAATCTCCCCCCAGGGAGATGGCCACACTACAATAGCTTCTCCCCCATTCTCCTCCTGGGATTTTGGGCACTTACACACACATGCCCAGTGTGAGTTTTAAGCTGCTGGGTTCAGGACTTGAACCATGGTCGACTATGTGAGAGTCCAGTGATGTAACCATTATGCCACCTGCTGGTCCACAGCCAACTGATTTTTGACAAAGGACACAAGACCATTCAGTGGGGAAAAGAAAATCTCTTCAGTCAATGGTGCTGCGAAAACTGGGTATCCGCCTGCAGAAGAGTGAACCTGGACCCTACCTCCTGCCATTAACAATCAACTCCAAATGGATCAAAGACCTAAACATAAGCCCTCAAACTACAAAACTACCGGTGGGGACACAGGAGAAACGCTGGGAGACAGCGGGGTAGGCAAAGACTTCTTAAATAAGAACCCCAAAGTATAGGCAATAACCCCAGAAACACACAAGTGGGATTATATACAGTTGAAAAGCTTTTGCACGGTAAAAGAAACAATAATTAGAGCGAAGAGACAACTTCTGGGGTAGGAGAAAATATTTGCAAACTGTCCCCTGGTAAGGGACTGGTAACCAAACTGTACAGGGACTCAGTCAGCCCAGCTAGAAGACGGGCAAGTGAGCTGGACAGACAATTGTCTGAGGAAGGCATCTGAGCAGCCAAACAGCATAGGGGAAATACTCACGTCGCTTATCATAAGGGAGATGCAGATCAAAACCACAGTGAGATACCCCCTAACCCCGGTCAGAGCGCTAAGATTAAAACAACGGTACGTTCTAGCGTGGCTGGGGTGGAGACCGCTCTCCTACACTGTTGGTGGGATGTAAGGCTCCGGCCACTGTGGAGAACAGAATGGAGGTTTCTCAAGGAGCTACACAGACAACTACACATGGCCCAGCAACCCCACTCGGCGGTTTCTACCCAAACGACAGGAGAACGCTCAGTCAGCGAAACACTTGCACATCCACATTCACTGCAGCATTATTCACAACTGCTAAGACGTGGAATCAACCCCGCATGTCCAGATGGGATGAATGAACTGAAAAACTGTGGTACAAATACGCTATGGAATACTACTCAGCAATTTTGGTTTTTAATGACACTCTGGCATTGGATAGAGAGTGGACACATGTGGAAGATTTAATGCTGAGTGAAGCAAGCCAGGGTACAAAAGGGAGGCATTGTATGTCCCCGCTTAATATCCACCGGATGTCCGCACTCTATGGAAAGACCGGCCCTCTTGTTCTTAATGAGACTGCAGTTGACTTAGGCAAACAGAACAGGCCACAACAGAAAAATAGCATTATGAGAAGGGATTCATGGCGTGTAGACTTGCCTGGAAAGACAAAGAGTAAAGATCAGCTTATGGTTAGCGCTTTGGGGCATTGTAGAATCCTGCCGTAGGGAAGAATGGGCAACATCAAGAAACACTTCTCAGCAACAATTACAATAAACACTACCGAGTAGTCGTAATGACATGCTCTTCACATGTAGCAGCTCTGTATAGACAGGTAGTGTTCATCTAGTCCTCCACACATGACTATCATTTTCTGTCGAGCTAACATCGCTCATTTATTCGTTTCTTGTGATGCACTTCGCATTTAACATGGCCTTTACATATATGTTTACGTACATCGAGTGGAGAGCCGTGAATTCCACGCTAGTTAGGTGCTATTACCTCAGTGGAGGCGGGTAGACGTTAGTGACATTAGAAACCACAGTTCCCCAGGAGAGGAGATAGAAACAGCCAACTGCTGGGCATCGACCACTTAACGGAAGCTCAAACATGTCACCTGCAAAACTTGCAACTTTCACATAGAGTATTTTTCAACTTTAGAAAGGAAAGAAGTACAGCTTCGTGCTCTACCACGAGGAGCCTCAGACGCGTCATGCTGGGGCCAGGCAGGGGCTCTGCAGTCACACCTGAACCCACACGAGGCAGGTCCTGGGTCTGTGTCCTGGGCTCTCCCTGCGCACGCCGTGAGATTCAGCATGGAGACTGTGTTGGCGTGCCTGCTTGTCTCTCTCCCCCAATAAATAGAAAGTAAATGAATAAATAAATAAGCAAGCGTACTAGCAAACATGATGCTAGATTCAGGAAGCCAGGCAGCAAAGGGCACAGATGTCTGGTCCCACTAATAGTATGTATCCAGAAGAGGTAAATCCGGAGAAGCTCTGGACAGGGGCGTGGCGGCCTGAGCTGGAGGGGAGAAGGGATGGACAGGGGCGGCTTGGCAGGCATGGCATGTCCTTGCGGGATGATGGGAACGTCCTGGAAGTATTTGGAGATGGAAGTCACACGGCAGTGGCAATGCACCGATGGCCCTCTGCTATGCACTTCGGAGTGGTGACTTCTGTGCTGTGTGAGTTTCACCTCTCGGTTTAACGATGTACGTGCTTTTAGGTAGGTACTTTCACCCTCTTTAATCAAGATTTATACGGATTTTTTAAAAATTATTTTATTTGGGTCCAGCAGTTAGTGTAATGGCTATGTCTCTGGACCCCCATGTAGTCAACTGCGGTTCAAGTCCCAGACCTGGTGATTTAAACTCACGCTGGGTGTGTGTGCGTGAATACCCAAGAACCTGAGAAGAGAAAGGAGGAGAGGGGATTGCGGCGTGGCCATCCCCCCTGGGGGGTGATTTCTCGCTTTCTTTCTCTCTCTCTCTGTCTTTCTGGCGAGCATACGCACCCTTTAGCAAAAACCTCTCCGAAAAAATTTACTTAATTTTATTGATTTATTTTTAAAATTTGACTAGAGAGGGACAGAGTGAGGGAGAGAGGGAGAACAAGTGAGAAAGCAAGCCGCCAGGTCTGGGACTCGAACTGCGGTCAGCCATGTGGGAATCCAGCTCCCTTAACCGCCATGCCACCTGTCAGCCCCGAGACCTACACAGATGTAAAACCATAGAAAGTTCACCTGAAATAAGCTGAGAGAATGGCGACCACACACTCGCGTGAGCAACCTCAGCAAAGGGCAGTCTGGCTTCTGACCTCCAGAGCAGCCTGACCCAGGGAATTCTTGTGGTCACGCCCCTTCTCTTAGCTCTCACATCCACCGCTCTGAATCCCGGCCAGGCGGGACCACAGTCCTGGAAGCAGAGCTGTGAGTAGCTGTCGTCTCCTGTCTTCAGAAGGTCACACCAGGAGGAGAGAAGCCTGTCCCTTGATGGCAGTCCAGCAAACTTCTCAACCAAACTGGCTCCTTTCCACCACTTAGACCCACACCTAAAATAATAGTTACGGCCCGAGGAGGGGGTTTATGGGTTGGTTTGTGTGTTCTAAAAGGTATGTCCGGGCGCTGGCTCCCAATTCCCATGTATGGGAGCTTATGTGGGGAGAGTGCTCGTTGGTCTCTGCAGGTGTAATTAGTTAAGCTGAGATGAGGCCACCCTGGAGTAGCCTGGGTGCTGGGGGACTTCGCTAGCCCACGATGACTGGTGTCCTTGTACGAAGAGACAAGGAGGCCGAGACACACGGAAGGAAGGGGGCCACTGAGGACACGGGCAGAGACTGACGCGACGCATCTACAGGTCCGCCTGTGCAGGACGGCTGGCGGTGACTGGAAGACGGAAGGCAGGCGTGGAGCAGATTACCCCTCAGGAGTCAGCATTGTCAGCACCTGGATTGCGGACTTCTTACCTCCGTAACTGTGAGAGAGTACATTTCTCTGATCTGGGGCCAGCAGGTGGCACAGTGGTCGTGACACTGGACTCCCACATGGCTACTGCGGTTCGAATCCTGAATCCAGCGGCTTGAAACTCATGCTGGGCGTGAGCGCTTGTGTGCCCGTGAGATCCAGGGAGGAGAATGGACGAGAGGGTCCCCTCGGGGTCATTTCTTGCTGTTTCTGTCTCTGGCAAGTGCATGTACCTCATAGCAAAAAGAGGGCACTTTTTTCTTCTAAAAAATAAAAAAAAATTTTTTTTCTCTGGTCTTAAGCCAGCAGACTTGTGGCACTTTGGTGTGGCAGCCAAGGGCAATGAACAGAGCGAGCGAGGCTGGCCTCTTGGTTCCCAGTTGACTCTGCCCTGCAGCCGGTTGTGCAGGGGACAAGCATACCCCGAAGGGAGGGGCTACAGCCCGAAGAGGAGGAGGAACTGGAGCAGGGCACGCTGATGCCCACCGCACCCAGCACTGCCCCCAGGAGGAACCGAAGACTTAGTGGGCTGGGGCTGCTGGCTCGAGCTCCTCCGTGGGCAGGCTGCGACCGTAACCCAGGCCTTCCTTTCCACCATCCGTGGGATGGCATTATGCTCAAGTCAAGCATGGCTAAACTCGTCTAAGGAAAAGGCCGGTCAGAAAAAGGTCTGACCCGTGTCGTCGCACCCTTAGACTCTTGTTTTTTTTTTTTTTAAGAGGTTTTTGCTATAGGGCGCGTGCACTGGCCAGACAAAACTAAAGAGACAGAGAAACAGAAAGTGAGAAATCACCCCCCAGGGGGGATGGCCACGCCGCAATCCCTTCTCCTCCATTCTCCTCTCAGGCTCTTGGGCACGCACGCACACGCGCCCAGCGTGAGTTTAAGTCACCGGGTCTGGGACTCGAACTGCGGTCGACTACGTGGGAGTCCAGCGACATAGCCATTATGCTAACTGCTGGTCCCACACCCTTAGACTCTTAAACCTTCTTTCCTATACTCCAGCGGAGTAACCACGGCAAGAATGACAGAGAACACAGGCTCAGAGATCGCTCTCAGCCCTGCGTCTCTCAACTGCACAGGGGGCCCCACGCGCCTCTGCACCTTGGGCTCCCGGTCTCGCACGCGGACACAGAACCAATGCATGCGACGCCCACGGCCCTCGGACGCTGACACCATGCGTGAGTCCAGCACGCGGAGGTATGTCGGCATCTGCCCCTGGGCTTGGCTTTATCTAAGGAGGAAGCGGAAAGATTGAGACAAAGAGATGGAGTAGCAGCGGACTCAGGCGGCCCGAGCCTACGTGGGCCAAGCAACTGGTGCGGCCAGACTGGGCGCCTTTATCTCCAGGGCAGAGCGACACTGCATAGACACAGAGATGCGTTATGGACGATCAGAAGCAGGCAGCACGTCGACAAGGGCTTAGACACGGGGCCAGGTGTGCCGCTGGTGATCCTGTAAGAGGAATCCCATTGTCTTCTTTTCTGATGGAGACAAGCCTAGCTCAGGTGTGGGGAGGAAACAAAAGGCTAAGGAATCTCTCCGTAAGGCGGGCACCACCACGCCCAGAGAAGGCTAGAGAATCTCACAGAGGCAGAGCAGGGCCTGGACTTTGCTAGTGGGGGTCAGGGTGTTCCCTGAAGTCGTTCAGGTGTGGCCCCCAGCTAATTCCAGCCTTTGCTCGGCCTGCAGCGAGGGTCAAGGCAAGGACAAGCTGCAAGGTTCTGCCATAGCCCAAAGGGGCAGTTAGTGCTTGCTCAGAGCGTGTCCCCACACCTCAGGGCCTCTCTCCGAACTTGTCCCTACAGAGGTGGCCCTGACCCCTCCCTGCCCCCAACGGCCATCCTCACCACTCCAAACCGTCGTCCGAGTCCTGGAGACTCACCGAGGCAAAGCAGGGGCAGGAGTGGTGAGAGCATAGCGCCCTTTTCTGCCCGGGCCAGGGTCCTGTCTGCAGTTTACAGCTCCAAGGAGACGTCGGACAGGGTGACCAGAGCCTCTCCTGTCCCCTTTGCCCCGGGTGCATGAGCAGAGGCTTCCCTGGGTCGCTGGCTCTGCTTCCTCCTTTCAACCGTCAGGAAGTGAGAAGCCGTCAGTGAGAACAGCTCCCCATAAATCCTGAGCCTCCGGCTCCACCCGCCCTGGGCCCCACCCCACCTCATCTGAAGCCTTACCCGAGTTGTTGAAATAATTTTTATTTTGAAATATTGACTTGTCAGAAAAGCCATGACCTATTTTCTATGTAAAAACGTGTCGTGATTTTTCTGGCAATCCAATAGTGTGCTTCTATGAGAGATGAGAGAGCCCCTTCATCAGTGATAACATCTTTTCTTTAGAGGTTTTTGCCTTAGGGCGTGTGCACTGGCTAGGGAGAGAGACAGAGGGACAAAGAGACAGAAAATGAGAAGTCACGCCCCAGAGGGGATGGCCATGCCATAATGCCTTCTCTTCCTGGGATCTTGGGCATGTACGCACACCTGCTTGGCATGGGTTTCAAGCCACTGGGTCCCGAATCCGAATTGTGGTCGGCCGCGTGGGAGTCTGGCTGTGGAACTGCTTCGCCACCTGCTGGCCCGGAACCGTGTGACTGTAGCACACCGTCAGAATGGAGACCCGGCTTGGCACGGGGCATTGCGAGACGACATGTTTACTCAGCTCTTGCCGGCGTCTGCATGGCTTTCCTTTCTGGAATATCTTTGGGCATACGTTCTATGCCATGTTCCTTTTCTTGTCACCCGTGTAGCTTTATAGAATCACCGCCACAGTCAAGGGACAGAACCGCGCCAGCGGCACGCGAAAGCCCCTCACTGGACCCCGGAGGCGGTGCAGTGGTCACAGCTGGACTCACACAGGCCCTGCTCTCCTGCTGTGGGACCTCTCTGAGCGCGCTCAGTGGCCCCAGGCCATGATCTGTCGCTCTGTCTCCCTCCCTCTCTCATGGAATAGATTAAAAATCTGAAAACAATTATTTTAATGAAAATCATCGAGGCCCAGAGTTTGAGGCTCGCCGTGGGGCACGGCAGTGTGCAATGGCCCGGCGGCCCGTTCGGTTCACGGGTCACTGCAGCCCGTTGCCTCTTTGCTTCTCGTCAGATGATAGGTCAGGTGGTGAGAGCGGGCGCTGAAGTCCCCCTCGGTTACTGTGCGAGCATCTGCTTTGGCTCCAGCAGTCTTTGTTTTAGATATTTGAGTGTTTCAGATATTTGTGTGCATATATTTATAATCGCTGTATCTTTTTGGTGGATCTACCTCTTCTTTTGGAGAGGTTTTTGCTATAGGGCGCGTGCGATCGCCAGAAAGACAGAGAGAGAGACAGAGAGACAGAAAGCGAGAAATCACCCCCCAGGGGGGATGGTCATGCCGCAATCCCTTCTCCTCCATTCTCCTCTCGGGATCTTGGGCACGCATGCACACGCGCCCGGCGTGACTTTAAGCCACTGGATCCGGGCCACGAACTGCGGTCGACTACATGAGAGTCCAGTTGGCATAGCCATTACGCTAACTGCTGGCCCCTCTCTGGCTTTTTCACTATTAGGGTTACTGCACAGATTTTAACGCGAAGTGCAGAGATGTTTTCCTTCTGCACTATCTGACTTGTGGATACTTTCTACTCAGATTTTTATTTCTTGTGCCGAACTCTAGAATTCTGTTTGTGTTCATTTCCGCATGTCTGTCTGTTTTGAGACGATGTGGATCTCTTTCTGGAGAGTTCTGCACTATCATGGGCCGTGCTCCTCACCTACAGGACTGTCAGGGGAGCTCTCAGCCCGGCCTTGCCCTCGGCCAGGGCGCAGTCCAGGAGCAGAGGCCTCCCGGAACCGTCAGGGGCAGGCGTGGCGGCTCTGCGCCCTGGCTGCAGGCAGAGGTCGCATCTGCGGGGGAGGAGAGCGATGGCTTCCCTGGCCTCCCGCGTGGAGCAGTGTGGACGGCACGGGAGTGCGGGTTTCTTCCTTCCACCATGACCGGGCCTTCAAGGGCTGCTTCGTGGCGCCCAGGAGAGACCGCGGGCGTCCCTGCAGGGCCAGGCGTCGCGCACAGAAGACCTGGCCCACGGCAGCACCCGCAGTGACCCGGTAAGAAACCCGGGCGCCCCACGAGGGCGGTTTTGCGTGCAAGGGACCCGGCCATATGTGGCCTATGAAAAGGAGAAGCCCCCGCTCCTGCCTCGGCGCTGCCTCCCCAGGTCACGGCCGCCCTCGGACCCCACGTGCAGCCCAGGAGGGTCAAGAGAGGCCCAAGAAGTCCATGGCAGCAGCCAGCCCGGGGTCAAAGCCAGGCTCCCGCGGAAGCCCGCCGGCACTGACAGCGGGGTGTGGAGGAGAGCCGGGCCTTGACACCCAGCATCCGGGGGAGCAACCAGGAAACCCAGCAGGTGCTGCCCCGGGCCTCCGAAGGGCCGTCCTCTAGGCCCAGGAGCTGGCAGTGCCGCTGACGCGCACACGCGGGGACCGCAGGGCCAGCTGACCGTCAGTCGCCTGTCCCACCCCAGGCCGGGAAGGGAATGAGTGGACAGCTCGTTTTATTTGGGTCTAAATAAAACCAATCCCGCAGTCCCTACCCCCACACCCCCAAAAGAAAAAGAGGCGCTCAGGTGTTTGAGTTGGACCCACACGGAGACTCTTCTGGCTAGGCTAGGCTTCAACCAGGGAAGGCTCCAGAAGGACCAGAAATACGGCGGCCAGACCCAGGAGGATGAGGTTCGCCTCGGCGGAACTTGACGCGACACCTGAGGCATTGAAAGAAAGGAGCATTCAGGCTGGTGGTAGAAAACGTCCCTCCCCATGACTGGCTGGTGACCTGGCGGTTCAGGGAGCCAGGCCCGCATGGCCATCTGCCGTTCGGATCCTGGCCCCGGCAGCGTGAACACAGGCCGGGCGCATGTGCATGTGTCCAGAATCCCTCCGGCTGCAGAAACGGAGAAAGGGCCCTGCCGCGACCACACCCCACGGGCGGCGCCTTCCCCTCCTCTCTCCGTCTCTCCCTGGTGAGTGTCACCTCTCCGCCAATTAAAATAAATTCCCCCCTGTGAGGCACAATTTTCAAAAAGAACAAAACGAGAATTCATACTACCCAGCTTCAAAACTTCATACAAGCCCTGCCGTTGGAGCAGAGAGGCATAACTGCAAAAGCAGGTGCAGAGCCGGACGGGACAGAACCGCGCGGTCCAGAAATGCGTCTCACTTCACCCCATGGCTTCCTACCAGGACCTCGCCGCGAATTTCCGAGAAAAAGCTCCCTCCTGCTTCTCGCAAGAGGAGGGGAACCATCGGAAACATGCTGGAACGTTGTTTTCTTCACAAGGTCTGCCCTCAGGAGGACGAATTACCAGTTAGCCAGGCCCGAACCCTCATCTGCTGGGGTCTTCTCAAAGCCTGACTGACCTGGGGAAGAGACCCTAGCCCACGCTCCTCTTCCCGTCCCCCCAAAGCACAGGAGACCGAATGGCATGTATAGAGTTCACAGTGCACAGGCGCAGGCTCCCTGAAGACTGAGACCCAGCACGGGCCAGGACCCTCCTGCTCCCTGAAGACTGAGACCCAGCACGGGCCGGGACCCTCCCCGCTTGCTGAAGACTGAGACCCAGCACAGGTGGGGACCCTCCCGCTCCCTGAAGACTGAGACCCAGCACGGGCCGGGACCCTCCCGCTCCCTGAAGACTGAGACCCAGCACGGGCCGGGACCCTCCTCCTAAACCTGTCACGGCATCGCTGGCGTTTGCCTCGCCCTCTCGTCCAGTGCCTGATGGCTCTCGGGGAAAACGACAAAGTGTACCCCAGGGCAAAAGCACAGTGCGAAAGGCGTAAGCAGCGTGGGAATGGCTAGGGCAGGAGCGTTGCCGAGACCAAAGCGGAGATGCCGAAGCACCGTGACCGACAGGCCAGCGGCTCTAGTGCAGGAAGGAACCGGCGTGCCAGAAGAGATGGGCACGAGAGCAGAGACGCGCTCTGAACAAGATCCAGGAAGAGATACTAGAGGTAGAGACAGAAGCGACTGGGACGCAGACGTCTTTGGGGGTTACTGGTAGGCGGGATCCTGAGGCCAGACTCTGACCTGGATGACATCTTGAAAGAAAATGCCTGAACTGAAACTCGGAAGAAAACCAGAACGGAACATCTAAAACGGTGGCCGACTACGGAAGGCGTTCAGGTGCACGGCAGGACAGGAGGAGGAGAAAGGCAGAAAGGAGCAGAGAATACGTCCGACTCCACATTTTCCCAGATTATCGTCACATGCGAAACCCCGGGTCCAGGACCTCAGGAAACACCAAGCAAAATAAATGCCAATAAATAAAAGGGCAAAAATAACCAACCAACCAACCAACCAAACCCTAAACCTAGACATAACATTTTCAAATTACCAAGAAAAAAAAGAAAAGAAGAAAAGACAATCCTGAGAGAAGCCCCAGAGGGGGAAACGCAGCACAGATAGAACAGCAAAGATGTCGTCAGACTTCTCAGAGACCACACAGAGGAGAGAGTGGAGATAAAATAAATATGTCAAATACTGAGAGAGAGAGAGTCACCAACCTAGAACTCTGTGCCCTGCAAACTGTTCTCCAAAGGTGAAGATGAAATACTTCCTTAGGCAGAAAGTGAGGCTCAGGCCAGCAGGTGGCGTGGGGGTTAAGGCGCTGGACTCCCACCGGCCGCTGCGCAGGAGGGAACGTGAGAAAGCAAGCTGCCAGGTCCGGGACTAGAACTGCAGCCAGCCACGTGGGAGTCCAGAGCTGGCCCCAGGGATTATGTTGTCATCACGGGATGTCACGGGTCTGTACCTGTCACCTGTATCTCTAAGCTTGCGCTGGGCAGGGAGGCGGAGAACGGGGCCTCTGTCTGGTAGTACACGCAGCTGTAGTTCCCGCTGTCCATGGCTTTGACGGGCCCAAGGTGGAACTGAGCCACGGCCCCAGTAGACGTGTGACTCTCGACAAACTCTGGAGTCCCTTCCTTCAACAGAACAAACTTCACGGGTGCAGCTGTGTGGCGCCCCTTCACGCACTCCAGAGTAACGTTGGCTCCTGGGCTCACCGCACGCCTCATTTGGCCCGAGAAGAAAGGTTTGGATAAATTTCCTGGAAGACAAAGCGGTCGGAAGTGATGAGAAGCCCCATTCTTCCTCGCCGTGGGTGTCCTGGGAAGGTCTCCCCGGTAGCGGGAGGTGCTAGACACCACCTCTGTTCACCTCCAAGGCAAAGATTTCCACCGATGCTTCTCTGAGGAGAACACGGGCTCAGGGCCAGCCGAGTCGGTAGGGCAGCGGCAATGCACACCACCGGACCCCACGTGGGGGTGCTGGTTCGGGACCCCAGGCCTCGCTGTGCACGCTGCGTGCACATGCACGTGTCCACTATCGGGGCTGACTAAGACCTGCTGAGAGCCTCTCTCACTCTCTCTGTCTCTCTATCTCATAGAAGAAGTAAACAAACACTGTTCTAGGATTGTGCTTCTGTCTCTCTCAGGCCTTACAGGCAAGGAACAATGATTCCTTTTTCAAAATAATTATTTACTTTATTTACAATTATTATTATTATTTTTTAATCTGACCAGGGAGAGAAAGGGAAAGTGAAACAGCAAGCCAGGCCCAGAGCTCGAACCGTGGTCGACCGGGTGGCAGTCCAGCACCTTAACCACCATGCCACCTGTGGCCCCAAGAACAACTATTCAGTCTTCTTTCTTCCCTTGATCCCACCCTTGCTCTCTTGTCCAGGAGAGATAAGTGAGCCACAGAAGACTCTCCTTTTAAGTTTGTTTATTTCTTCCAGGAGAAAGGGAGAGGCAGAGACAGGGGAGAAGCCCTGTGGGGCCCCCACCCAGTGATCTTCCAGTCTCGGTCAGCCCCGATTACAGGGTACTCAGGGCGGGCCGAGGATGTGAACCCTGGACCTGCCCCACGTGAGTCCAGTTGCACTGCCACTGTACCACTGCCCGCCAAAGTTCTTTTTCCCACTTTTTCTTTTAAAAATATTTTATTTATTTATTTATTTATTTATTTATTTATTTATTCATTGGAGAGTTTTCAGCTATAGGGCGCGTGCGCTTGCCAGAAAGACAGACAGAAACAGAGAGACAGAAAGCAAGAAGTCACCCCCCGGGGGGATGGCCACACCGCAATCCCTTCTCCTCCACTCTCCTCTCGGGATCTTGGGCACGCACGCACATGCGCCCGGCATGAGTTTAAGCCACCGGGTCCAGGACTTGAACCATGGTCGACTACGTGGGAGTCCAGCGACATAGCCATTATGCTAACTGCTGGTCCCTCAATGTTATTTATTATTATTATTTTAAAATTTGCTATAGGGTGTGTGTGCTTACGGGGTAAGCAAGCCGCCAGGTCAGGGACTCCAACCATGGTCAGCCATGTCGTCTCAACCCATGCCACCTGCTGGCCCCAGCAACGCACTTTTTCTCACCTCCAACCACAAGAGAAAGGTAACTGGCTGGTGAGCACCTCGAGGGGTCGTCTTTCTTGCAGTATTTGCAGCTGTAGTTCCCAGCATCTTCCCGACTCAGGTTAGTGAGGGGCAGCACGACCGTTCTCCCGGAGTCGTCGAGGGACATCATGGTCTCGGAGGGCAGCACATGGCTCTCCTTGGTGAAAGTGAACTCCACGTTCCTGATATGAGTCCAGCACCTCAGCGTCACGTTACTCACGGCAGGAACCAGAAATCTGGGCAAGGCACTGAAGAAGGGGCTGGGAGGCTCTGGAACGGAAGCAGAGCCCGGCGCTGGGTTTGCTACGCTCACCTCGCTCTCAGGAAGCCCTGCGAAGGCGGCTGGAGGGGACGTGTCAGGGCCGTGGGGACCGGAGGGTCGAGCAGACACCACGAGCGAGTCACTTACCATGCACTGTCCTGTCGCTCTGGCCAGCACACAGCCCTGTCAAAGATCCGTCCGTGAGAGGTGTGTTCCTGCCCGAGGCCACGCTGCACCCTCCTGATTCCAGAGACGCCCCTGAGGGGCTTGCTGGGAGCAGGCTGTGGGGTCCCGCCTTGAGCAGTCCTGGTGCCCTGCCGGCTCAGGCTCAGCTCTGCCCTGCTGCTCCATGGTCCCTCGTGGGTGATCTCCTTCCCTCCTGCACTCTCACCCCCGTTCTCTAGGCCCTTCCTTAATTCCCCGGATCCTTCTACTGGCACCCCCAGCCTAGTCTTACCGCTGAATGGAAGTCTATGTTGTATTTTCTTGGTTTCCCACCCCTTGTAAGAAAAGACATGAACCATGCAGGACACTGGCACGGTCCGGGGTGGTCGTGTTTAGCTTAACCCTCGACGAGCTGGCCTGAGAGGCCCCGACAGTCTGGTCTGTGACGTGGGAGCCCCCACGTGAAGGCTCCTCGGTGCCTCGGGTGACAGACGAGACAGAAGCCATGTAGCTGTAAAATGCTAGATTATGAAGTTCTATTTACTTCACGGCATGGCAGACACACGGTGGTGCCCCCCCACCCCCCGTGAGCTGAGGCAGAGGGGCTCTGCGTGTCGCCTCGGCACCCTGGGCCTGCACAGGTCCTGGCCCGTAGTGGGACCTCAGCCGACTTGTGCTGGCTGATCAAGGAGATGCATGAGTCAGAGAGAGAGAGGGAGAGGGAGAGGGAAGGTGAGAAAGCCAGCCGCCAGGTCCGGGATGCGAACTGCAGTTCGTCATGTGGGAGTCCAGCACCTTAACGACCACGCCACCTGGTGGCCCCGAGTCAGAGTTTACCACAGTGGGCAAAGATGCAGTTGCAATGACTTTCTTTCTCCCACGGGATCTACCCCACCCCAGAACGACAGCATTGTCCCCCATATTCATTTGATGGGATCTGAGTCTGCCGGGAAGACGGAGCGAGGCCTTTCAGGGGGATAGCTGGCCGTGACGACCGGGACTTCGCTCCTGGAAAAGCCCGGGCTCACCTTCCCACGGTGGTTTCATTTCTGGTACTCCACACGGGATAAAGCTCACTGTTTGGCCCCTCAGAAAACTCTGGGGCCATGCTGGGAAACGTATGATAGAACAAGGGTGTAGCCAAGAGAATGGGGGTGATGTGCAGCCACATGGCCCAGCAGCCAGCGGGGACAGCCTCGGGAGCACGAGGTCCGGGCCGCTGGCCTGAGGTCGGCGTGGGAAACGATGTGATCATTCATCTCGAGACAGACCCCGCGGGAGAGAGCCTGCGCAGTGTCCCGCTGGGAGCCACAGGGATCGTTCCTCCCAGCGAACCGTGACGGCGGCCAGAGCTCACCTTTCTTTCTTTTTGGAGAGGTTTTTGCTATAGAGCATGTGTGCTCACCAGAAAGAGAGAGAGACAGAGAGACAGAAAGCGAGGAATCACCCCCCAGGGAGGATGGCCACGCCGCAATCCCTTCTCCTCCATTCTGCTCTCGGGATCTTGGGCACGCACACACACGCGCCCGGCGTGAGTTTTAAGCCACCGGGTCCCGGACGCGAACTGCGGTCGACTACATGGGAGTCCAGCGACATAGCCATTACGCTAACTGCTGGTCCCAAGCTCACCTTTCTTTAAGAGCCTGCTGGTCCTCATTTAGCGTGTAGAGAACACTCACCCCACCCCTGCTTAAGAGAGTTTAAACTGCCTGTGAAATACAGCGTCTGGGCCCTCAGCCCTTGAGGTTCCGAGTCCCCTCTCCCCCACTTTCGTGTCTGTCTGCCTCTACCCTCTGCGCCGGGCCTCCGCTCGCCTGCTCACTGGACCGTCCGGCAGGGCCAGCCCATGGAGCCCATGCAGCAACTGCATAAAACCCATTCCCGGACCTGGTGACCTGAGAAGGGTGCCAGGAGCTCGTGTGTGTGTGCCCCAAACCCAGGAATGCGGGAGCGGGGGGTGGGGTGGGGTGGAGAGGGGGTTGCAGTGGGCCATCCCAGGGGGAGGCAGTGCCTTCTCTCTCCACTGAGTCTGCACACCCTCTGCAAAACTAAAAGAAAGACATCTCACAATTTCCAAATGCGGAGACCAGCAGCTGGCATAATGGCTACGTCGCTGGACTCCCACATAGTCGACCGTGGTTCGAGTCCCGGACCCGGTGGCTTAAAACTCAAGCCGGGCGCATGTGTGTGCGTGCCCAAGATCCC